TAACTGTTATATCCTAATCACATCTCTGTCTATCATATCATAATATATACACGCAGATATTAAAAAAAACTATGTGAGAATAAAATAGTGAAGATAATATTGGTTCATACGTGATTCCCACTATTTTCGTCATACTAAATTCGGAAGACCCTATTTATTATGAAATAATGATAAAAAAGTCCAACTCTACGTTATTTTGGAATTTTTGGATCGGTATGTACTCAGAGGACTAGATATTCATAAAGCATAATTTATAATTCTCTATTAAAATATAGGTCAATTGACAATTAGTAATAAACTCGTACACTTACTCCATGAAAAAAATGAGATATCTTTTATTTTATTTTTTAAAAAACCAATAACACTTAATTTCATTTATATAAATTATAATAATAAATTAAAGCTATATACCTAATACTTTATTATAAAAATTATTTTAAATTTACTTAGTGTACAATAATATCAATGACACGAACGACATTCACGATATCTGACCGGAAGTAACTAATTGCACTTAATATTATTATTTTATATACCAATTGCGCTGTATACATTTTAGGATCGATAGACCAATCGCATTAAAACAATTTTAAAATACTTTATGAAAACTTATGAGTTAGTTATAATTATATAATAAATTAATTTACACATCGAAAAGCACCGTTTCATTTTCATTAGATAATACATTTTGAGGACACGATTTAATTGTACACCTCCACTTAGTTCCATTTTTTTAATTTAGTACATTTCCGAAACTTAAAATAATCGAGAAGTAACAACGGTTTACTTTTTTTATTAAGAGCTTGCTTAAAAAGATCCATATTGTAATGTCAAACAACTCAAACTAATACTAAACAAAAAGATATAAGAACGGCCATATCATCAATGTGTTATCCTATATAATAAAGTATATATTGTACAATGAAACAATAGGCTGATAAAATATCCGATGATAATGAAAACGTATTTTTGTCTATCACTCAAATTTATACTTGTATGATAAAATTTGCGTAATATTAATAATATTTTGTAAAATTCCGATACTATTATAAAATATATTTTAACCAGTTACTTAAACCAGTAGCTAATCAATTAATAAATGAGTTTTTAATTTTTAAGTATTTTTGTGTGTAAATTGTTTATGTCGATGTTGATGGAATTAGATTGAACAATAATATTTTCATATCTGAAGGTAGGAAAATTTAAATACAAGCGCAATTAGTACACTGACCCTAAACAAAAACTGTGTTTTAAGCGCAATTGGTTCATGCCCATCTGACCGTCTAGATGGTCTCGTAAATGGCTTAATACCGTAATATTTGGGCATGGACCAGTTGGGCCTAAAACAATATTTGTACTTTAGGTCAGTATACCAATTGCGCCGCTTAAATTTTAGGTTAGTACACCAATTGTGCTACTTATATTTTAGGTTTCTTATTTTTACATGGACATATGTAAGTTCCTACATGGCGGAAAAAGTTACATAATATGTATATAAATAATTAAATATAGCTATTGACGTTGTTGATGTATATCTATGTGTATGATTTTTTTATAGATTTATATTGTACAAATATTATTAATATTGACGTTCATTTTATCATTTTTTGTATTGACTAAAAAATTTATTTATAATACATATTTTTATAAAAGTATTTTAATATACTAGGTATAATGTAGAATAATATTATAAACCCTAAAAACAACTGAGCGCAATTAGTCTATCTATCCAAAAAAGACAGAGCGCAATAATTGGTATATTGACCTAAAACAGACGGAGCGCAATTGGTATATCGACCCAAAAAAGACAGAGCACAATTGGTATATTAAAAGGTAATTTTAAGCGCAATTGGTAAACTCCCTAATATTTTTATCGTATTTAAAAAGTGTTTTCCAAAACACTCACATTTAAATATTTTTTATATACCTCTAAACCCACATACGCATCTTGCGTACAATAATATAATAGTACCTATAATGCGTAATGAAATACGCAGGATAACAATAACACCGAAGTAAATATGGGCGTGTATATATACTTAGCATCCTATACCTGAGCATATCGATTGAAATACGCAAAACCATGGTTAAGCTACTCACTTAGCTCTGAGTTTATACTTAAGTGTATAGAGCTATAGATATTGGAATTCGAAGTGTCTAAGTTTCCATTTATAATATTATACCTGAAACAGCTGTTACATAACCAATCATATTTACTACCACGAGTACCTCGTGTCACTCGAGCAATCCTTTATCCCGGGTTATCTGCAATTTATTATTTTCAATATTATATCATATTTACGTCTTAAAGTATTCTTTTTTGTGTATAGAAAATCCTTCGGATTCCGTAAAATGAAGCTGCTTTGACATCGAGACTGATCAGTTACTTCAAGACGGTGGAGCATTATGAAATTGCCCTAGGCCTAAGAAAAAAACAACATGGTATATATATTTATATTTTAATCGATCCTTAAAAGTTGTCCACGTTTGTTTTCAAATATATTTTGATGTTTTCTTTATATATTTTATTGTGGAACGCGATTCTTAGCCTTATAGATTTGCGTGAAGTTATAAAGTGGTCACGAAGATACCTATTATCATGTAAGTATACACGAATCTCAAATGACTACTTTATCGAGTAATGTAATATTATATAAAATATACTCGTTTCGTATACGTGTGGACTCATTTCTTACGCAAAGCCATCAACAAAAATAAAATAATCTATTTTATAAATCAGCCGTTTCACTGCACTTACCCAACAGTGTATAGATATGCATTATGTTCAAATGCGATGATATAATCATTATTGGCATTGCAGCTTTATTCATTTTTCTCGGTAGGTACGTGTTATGAATATAAAATACGAGATTTTACGTTAAACGCGTTTCTCGTCATCAGCATGTCCCTAATGCGCGTATCTTATTGAAAACGCTTGGTTTCAAAACTCGAGCAAACAAAATCATGGCCTACTATATATGCATAATATAATGTGATGCTCTAACATAAAATTATATTCACATCTTGTGTGAGTGTATAATTAAAATAAACTTAAACGTTTAACACGCATAGTTCAAATAGTTATACAACCATAAATGATAGGCCGTAAATTATTACAAAAATTTCTAATTTATTATTGTAATTATTAATAAATATTTATTTTATGAGCTATTTGAAAATATATTTTATATTTTATAACACTAATATTTTAGGTTACAACATATTATATTAGCTATATATAGATATTGATAGACGTATATAGTCTATGGGCATTAAAAAAAGGTGAGATGTGTCAACATTTGTTGGCAAGAGAAATTAACCCAATCTTTGAAGTGGTTTTCATTAACTTAGTATAGTTAAAGGTGTTAAGAGAGTATAGAAAGGACCGGATGATCGAGTACTTCGACGTTTTTGGATCTTGAAATAAATTTGACATGAGAAGATATTTAAGATGAATCAATCTTCTCAGACAGCATCTATCTCACAAGTCTTTTAACACAATCGAATCTGATGTCTGCGTTTAATAGCAGTTTTAATATTAAACGCATTTTATAAAGGATTGTAGTCACGTGGCAAATGGTGTGTCCGGAGAAACCGTATACATAATACTATATACGCAACACTCAGGCGTCCGTCACCATTGGTCAACGAACCACTAATCGAAAGCGTTATCGTAGGGGCTTTGGTCAAAGGGTGCACTGCTCCGATTGAAACTAGTGCCTCACTCGAACTGCAATTCTGTACATCTGGTGTGGCTAAGTGGTTTGCATTGTCGACTTTGAACAGTTAAGCTTAGATGTGTATGAAATGAAATGACGTAGTTATACACTGTGTATAGCGTAATATAGCAGGCGACCGCCTTTTCCTCCCCATAATGGCCGTATTGGAAAAGTCATTAAGCAGCCCGTAATGGAATAATGGCATGGTATATATTACATAGAATGAATCGAATTATAGTACATAATTTAATGTTTGTATAAATGTTAAATCACTATTCTGCATATGGATATAAGCATTTAACCGTTTTTAATTATAATTTTCGTTTATTTTTTTAGTGTTCTACCCTCCAAAAACAAAAAAAATAACTGAAAGTTCTTTTAAAAAGTATTCAACACAATACATTGTGTTATTTGAAATTGAGAGCTTAATATATTAGTAGGTATTGTAATATGTAGGATATAATAATAATTGTAGCTGATTTAAAATTTTATATTGCATTTAACAATTATTATGTTTAAATGAATGAAACATCATTAATTTTTTTTTTTAATTTGATTTGTAACTTACTTATAGAAATGAAAAAATGTTGAAAACGAAATTCTAACTGTTAATATATCATCTTTTAATTAAATTTTTCAGTAGTGATTAAAATATATTTACATAGTCTTATTCATAAACAATTAATAGAATTTTAATCTATGATTAAATATACCTATTTGGCTATATACTCGAGTAGTTATTAGGACTTATAAATTTATATTTATGAACTGAACTACTTACGAATGGATTTTCATAAAACTCAAGTTTTAGAAATTCATCATTATAATTTATTCTATAAACAATTATTTATAACCAATACTTTATTGATTAACAGTAAGATTGAATAATTATTTAATATTTCGGAGTATATTAAATTTTACAGTATTAAAAAGAACAAGAAAATAGGGCAGTGTAAAAAAATCGATAATTTAATTTACATACTTTGTATAAAAAACAAATCTGCAAGTCTTAAATAGTAATAATATTAATAACAATACACATGATTTCTAATATTTTTAATTATTACTGCTGTATTTTTAATACTTAAGGCTGTAACTGGTTTTATATTGATTTTATTTCAATATTTTCATTTTATCAGGTTTCATAAACGTAAAGATTTTTTTGTTTTTTGTTGTTACTTTTCGGCAAATATTATTTCATAGAAAGTACAGTTAATTTAGTTTTTTCAAAAAAAAAAAAAAAAGAAAGAAAGTTTTATTCATAAATAATTATGTATGCTCTAAGTATATAAATAAAAATTATTTTAAACAATAAATTGTTATTTCATTTGTTTAGTTTTTGTACTGTGTTGAAATTCTGAATTGACTGCAATGGACTGTAGTAGAAAATATCTGTAAAACAAATTAAAAACGATAGTTTAATAATCTGTGTGTACCACATTGTTGATTTTTTTGTTTTTAATGTTTTTTTAAGACTTTTAAATGCTCAATTTTCGTTAAGTGTACATAATAAATAGTCCAAAATGTAAACACGTTTTGAAGCAGTACCTTTAAAAACAAGGAAACATTATTAAACGGAATTAAGGATAACGTAAAGCCAAATTAATGAATTTGACAAACAGACGGTAGTATAAATGTAAGCCAAGGGATGTCGAAAGTAATGAAAATCGTCAAGGGTACATTACCGTCTTCGTTTAAACAAATGTCGTTTGTATAATAGATGTCGGAGAATATTTTATTTGGTGTGACATAATAAAGATAACTTTATAATAATTTAGTATTGAAGACGGTAAAAACTTTTTTCTTGAACCTTGTGTAAGTTATTAAAATAAGTGACAATATGCGTGTGTAGATTAAAAGGAATTTTACATAATTGTGACGTAAGACTTCAAGCCCCCTATACTTATTACTTATATGGCTATATAGTTTAATATATCATATGCACTCTTAAGTCCTAACATAAAATACATACACTTGTTGTGCTTGTATGTAAATGTAACTATCGTTCGGGATTATAAATTATTCCATTTGATGATATAACACGAGTAATGCGGCATGTATTTGTGCTATACATTGTTAAAACAAAATAGTATAATATGCCAGACAAATAATATGTGATAATAATTTATATATGGCCTATATAAATGTATAATGCATATTATGTGTATTGTGTACGGAGGCGTACGCTTGGTCATATTACATCATCATTTTCGTACGTTATTTTAATGGTATATACAATATACATTATTATTGTTTACTAATTACCTACTTTAAGGTAAGAAATTAATACCGTGTATGGAATTGTAGGTAAGTTATATAATGCAATATACATTATAATGTTTGGCATACATCGTTTAATAATGAATCAAGTTAGAAAAATTGTGTATCAATGGTATACATATTCTATAATATACATAATATTATAAACTATTTAGGTGATTTAATTTTAAAATCCATCATTAAATTGTTCAATTATTTTTTTCGTTTTAGTTGAAATTCATTTAATATATATAATACCTATATATATATGTGTGTGAGTATTACAAATAAACAAATATCGTATGTCAAAACTACAAATGTGTAGTGAACTTTTTAAAACCACATAATAACATGTTAATGCATTATTTACTATTTAAGCACTTATAAACAATTGGTTGTCGATTTTTATACTTTATTAATACATAGATTATAACCGTTAGCATAATTATAAAGTACTATTTTTGGAGATAACCGGTAAAAAAATATATATATTCATTAAATGAAAAACTAGTAATTTTTGGTAACCATATTATAATTTATAGCCGGATCTTCGAGCACATCGTAACGTGATTCGATATGCTTTACATCTACGCAACAATAATATGACCATTTTGTTTGGCCGTAAACAATCCGTCGACAAAGATTCAGTTAAGACCGAATGGAATCTTTTAAGTCTTAGCACAGTTCACGTAATGTAATACGCAATAAGTAAAAACAACACATAATAAACATATCATACAAACGCATATGTATATGTTATATATACATAACGTTATTTACCTAGTTATTTGCGACTCTTGAGACCTCAGGCCCGAGAAATAATAATTCGTATACATATTATATATTCGTATAGACCTTTGTCGCGAGTGTGACGGTTAATTTACCTCGACGTGACAATAATAAAAGTGAGACTCGCACTGTACGTCAGAGGTCTCCCCAGAGCGTTCATTATTGTTGTTATATTAATAAAAGCGCGTACGTGTTTCCTCTTATATCTATGTGTATAGAACATACGCATACACATACACACACAAACACTCATACACTCGTGCATCTAACCGGGTACCATCGTGTCGTTTTGTCTTTTCAGAGACAAATTGACGCGGAGATGAAGACGACTACGACGACGATGGCAATGTCGGTGGGAGGGAGACCGGGGCGGTAGCCAGAGGCAAGAAAGTCGCGAGGTTAAGTATATATGAATACACAAATATATACATACATATATATATATATATATTATTCGTATTTTGCATATACTGGCACCATGTACCTGCACCGTATAACAACACAATTTACTTTCGTGAGAAAAAAAAATACGCAAGTATACGTTTTCGTCCTAAGAGACGTGCGGCAAATGATTCGTAGTAGTGGCGGGTAAGGGGCAAAAAAAAAATAACTCCCGCTCGTTATCAAAATGTCAGTTTCGATACTAAAATTTGATATCGCACGTGTATACGTACACTACATGTCTATATCGTATTATTACGTGAGTATATTATAATATTATTTGTGTATGGAGACTGAAAAGATAAAAAAATAAAAGCACATTTACTGGTGTGCTCGTACGCAACGCAGGCGAAGCGAATACTCTATTATTGGTAAACGACTATAATATAAAACGAGAGTAGCTCGTGTTATTATAATCATGTTGCACGCAGCGAGAGATGTTTCGGAATGTTATGCGTAGACCTAAGAGCCGAAAGAGTATTTTCCCGTTTTGCTTACATCACTTCTTTTTTGACGGATATCAAAGTCAAAATACGATATCGTTGTCTTCCACAACGCGCACTAATTGCATAACATGCGTAATGTAATGCAAAAAATAATGTTTATATTTATTATTCGTTCTCCGTCTAAGACACTTGAAACCTTAATTATAATATTATCAATGTCATAGTATAACAAGGAAGAGAAAAAATTTACCGAAATACGACTGTTTTTTTTCCTTTATGACCAATCGACGTAAAGGATTTATATTATGAACAATTTTGTTTTATTAAAAAATATTTTTATTTCGATATAGTTAAAGTTATTTTTCCAAGAACAGATACATACCGGGTCAAAACAATTATTGTACGAATTCAGCTTATTTAGCTATTTTATAAACATTCACCGTTAAGTTACAAATCGAGTGTTTATGGTTACTTATAAAATCCGGAAGTGTACATTTCGAATAGTGGCATTGTGTTATAGGTGGAGATTTATAAAATATTCTGTAAACGTGGTGTAAGATTTAACCACGTTTATAACGTTCAGCGATTTTAATTATTATTATTATTATTATTATTATTATTAAGAGTCGACAGAAAAAAAAAACATGTTTTCGATTTCATGTCAACAAAATACGCGTTTACAATAACTTACTATTAACGCTTCATGAATTCAAACCGTTTTAATTTGAATATATTTAAGTATAAAATTGTATAATTTTATAAGTATAAACGTTTTCGTAAAATCCATATCGTATAACTTAAGGTCAAAATAAAGTTTATCTATTAAATGCATTTATATTTCAGTATTATTTAGAATATAAAATTTATAATAATAAGTTTAATTCTGTTCTCAATATGAGTATAGTGACGTTTTGCACTTCCTAATGTGTACATTCATTTATGTACATACTATACATAGTACATAGATGTGTAATACAACGTGCATTTTTGATTTGACCACAACATGCAACAACAGCATAATTATTATTATACAGTAAAACCTGCAGTCCTATGCAAAATTGCACGGGACCGATAAAAATTTCCGTTTTAAGCAAGTTTCCTTGTAACTGAATAAAAAGGAAAATTCCATACTATAGAGTGATAATATTCTACATGATTAAGGTTTAAGGTTATAACATTTTTTGATCAATAATAAAAATTAAAATGTTGAAAATTAATAAATACCTACAATAAATTTTAATTTTTAGTAAATAATTATATACTATGTATTAATTAGGTATTTTAAAATAATGATAAATTTCAAATCCAAAATTTGAAGAACATAATATTTAGTAGGTCGTAATCAAATAATAATATAAGAAAATAAAGTTAGAAGATTAAAATATAATTAAAAATTCCGAAATTCGTGTAAAGTTTTGTCCAGTTTTTTCTTTAACAATTAATAACTTCTATAACTTTAATTTTTTCATTTAAACTAAAACAAATCTTTGAAAACATTGTGATAATAAGTAAGACGAGATGAAAGACAAGAAAACTACGACTTTACGTTGTGACAATGAGCATTGATGATATAAATCTAAGATAAAATGTAGTTATCATCGACACGTATTAATATTGCTGACCTTAATAATTTTTTAATAACAAAATAAATGCGGGTATCAAAAATAATTTTGTTCATTTTATGATATGTTTTTCAGTTTATTAAATACGTATATAATATGATTTACAGGATCAAAAAAAGCTTTCCGTTTTATCAAAGGTTTAATCCTATATTAAATCATAAAAATCTGCCGGGAACATAGGTAATACATTTTCGCGCAGAACAGGATTCTGTCTTAACAAGGGTCCGTATAAGACAGGTTTTACTGTACTATGTTTTTTTACTATCATCGACTAAGATAAAATATTATAAAATATTTATGTATATTTTATTGCTGTTCGCGTCGATCGGGACACGCGTATATTTTATGTATACTGAAATATTGTTATTATTCATCCGAGGAGGGACCCGATATTGTTATATTGTCCGATTGCTCGCCGACAATCGCGTGTCGAATGTCCATTAAAAAGTGTTCAATATCAATTTGCGCCCATGTTTATGACTGTTGTTTTTAACCCTTTGGCCCCCGGAAGCGGAACTGGACGCCATAAATCTCCGGGCACAACCCCATGCCCCCCTCCTCATACTGCATTGTGCGACGCGCCCGGTACAAGATATTTTCCAGCCGGTGCGCTGCGCCTGCAGCCGAGAAACCAGTTGGACTCGCTGACCACTGACCCTGATCGATACATATTTTCCGTTTTTTCTCCCTCGCGTACTACACACGTATACATAATGCTTACACCCGGGTTGACCACCCAATTATCGGAGACGCCTCAGACAAACGGCTCGTGCGTCCTCCCCCTCCCCTCTAGTCATCGCCACGTGCTAACCCCAATCGGCGGCGTGCCCACCAT